TGATGGCGGTCCGGTGTACTGGTCGTCAATTTCTGGTTGATTGGGAGGGCTACGGTCCTGAAGAACGGTCCTGGGTCCCGTCCAGTTTTATCGTGGGCAAAGACTTAATCGAGGACTACTACAGGTGTCATCCGGAGGTCCCAGGGCCGTCAGGTGTCGTCCCTAGAGGGGAGGGTACTGTTGTGCGTAGACGGCTCTGCTAAGATTGTTCCCTAGTTTAGGTTTCATGTTATGTGTTTAGATAGGTTCCTGTTTTATTTTGATAGTCTTGTCTACCCTCATGTGTCTAAAGCACGGGCGTCGCAGCCATTATATGAGGGTGGGACAAGTCCCCCCCACTTTTTCAAATGATTAGTTTAGACCCCCCCACTTTTACCATGTGGAAAGTCCGTGAATCGGTCTCTCCACTCGCCGCACTTTGTAGAGCGCTGTGTCAGTGCTTCACTATCAAATCCATTCCACTTGCTTATTGAGAGAATGCCCAAATCAATGAAACTCCGTACCATGTTTTCACTGCTACTTTGTACCAAGGCAGATTCTCCCATAGCGCGCGCATGTTCAAGGAGTGTTGTCATAGTTGGACAGCTCAGATCTGTTGTATGAAGCAATGCCGGTAGCGGAGGTAAGGCACACACACCAAGTGTTCAGGACATTGTTAATACAGCGAAAATCAAAGCTGACGATCTCTTGGTTTGATATGTTTTCTCCCCCAGACAACATGGACATAAGAACATTTGTTTCAAAGAAGAGGAAAGTAAGTCTTCAGCTGGTAGCAGTTAATCAGTTAACAGTGATGGCGGCGGCGGCAAAAGCGTCTCACTTCTGGAGAGGAGTTTCGTCTTTATGTCATGATAGAGAGATACAAATACTGAATAGTTTAGATGAGAAAAGGCATCGAAATGCCAGGTTACTAGTATTTATCATGTAAACAGGGAACATGAATAACCCGATCTCTCTGTGCTCATGTAAACACTATGATGTAGCCTACTATAGAGGCGCAGTCAGTGTGTTTTACTGGAGCCTCAGTTCGATAAGAGATTATTTTCTGAGTTCTTTAACTTCGGTACTCTCTCTCAAAATGATAATGTGCATTATGTTTTAATTATACTTATCATTCAGAAGCTTTTTGTGTGTGTTTATGTTTTAGTGAGTGCTTATAAGCAATTTCCATCCCAGTATTCAGTTAACTATTTATTTTCTGCGCACATTACATAGACTACTGTAGCTAATATTCTACCTATTGCTTCGGACTTTGAGTCTTCAAAATGTCCAATGTCACAGACTGGGACTTACTTTAGAGTCAGTTGTATTTACATTCAGTATGACTTGTTATGATTCAATGTGAAAGAGTATAGGCCTACTGCTCAATAAATAATGATCACTTCACCACCTCTCTTGACATCAAGGCGCTTGAGAGTGAGGCAGAGGCAGAACACAGTGGAGAGAGGTCCATTGCTGAGGTGAGTGATGAAAGGGAAATGACAGTTTAGAGTAAATTGTGATGTGGACTCTCATCCCAGAATGTTAAGGAAATCAGTGGGGATATTGAACAGGAAGCATTTCAGTCAAGGGGCATCATATGACCAATATAGACAGAAGAGCAACATTTAAGTCAATGATACCATTCCTAGGTGAACTTAACATCTGTATGGAGTCAGATCAGTCTCAATATTAATAAATGCTCACAGAAGGATTCACAAATGTATTTTGCGATTTATATATAAATGACTCTCCACAACAATATCTCTCAATGCACTCACAAATATGTATTGTTGTATATAAATGTACAAAAAAATGGGCATTTAAACTGCTTTTTATTAATTAAAAGACGGCTCTGAATTAATAATCAAATATGTTTCCTTTCTTTACTACTGGATGAAATTACAAAATGCACCCATCATTTCCCTCATGCTAGTATAGCCACATAAAAATCCCCCCCCCCCGTTAAAAATGTCCCCCCCACATTCAGGATGCTTCCTACGCCCATGGTCTAAAGTACGTTTCCTGCCTTGTCTGTTTTCCCGCTGTTCTAATTGTCTTCACCTGGTGTTGTCTGTCTAGTATATATAGTTCTCGTCTTCCCCTGTCTCGTTGCCAGATTGTCTTGTGTGTTCCAAGCCTTCCAGCGTAAGATCATTTTGTCATTGTCCATAGAGTTATTGTCCATAGAGTTAGATTAGTGTATTAGTAGTTTTTGTTTTGTTGCTTTATGTATTCAGTGTGTTATGACCTGTCTACATTAAAACACTTTATTTTGATACTTTGTTTGTCTCTGCATCGTGCATTTGATTCCACGCCCTTGTACAGCCCTAACACCCACATATTGATATGCTTACCGCTCCTTTAGAGTGCTTTTACTCTTTGATCTAGATGTTAACACACAAGTGATGGACTTATTGTAGAAGGCTTCCTGTTTCTAGGTATATTGCTCCTCGGATCTTCCGATTCTACTAGACAGCTGAATCTTGTGTATTTCGGAATAATTATTTCACTGTAAGATAATTAATTTATGAAGAATATAAGCCAAGTAAACAGACAGTAACATATGTGGAGGTCTTAGTGATAGCACTATGCAGCAGCTGCATTTCTGGCAGTATGTGCATGCTGTTTGTTTTAAAAGACGTCATCATATTATTAAGCATTTACGCTTCAATGGCATTTCTTTGGGAATTAATATCATCAGTCTTTAGTAGTTCTCACTATTTAGGGATAATATGATGACGGAAAAATAATAATGTGTTTTTTTTTTTTTTCTCAGGGTATGTACATCTTACCAACCCTTTTGCATCTCGGCCGGGAAATGAAAGGCTTTGAAATAAGATTGGAGGAAATGAACCGATATTAAGTTGTAACACTTGCTGTGCAGATAAACAAAAGCAATTCAGTGCTTGTATGGTTTCTAAGTGCTGAAATATAGCACTCCATTTTTGTGTTCATCTCTCTATCGATTCATACTGTTTTCAACAATTCAAGAATGATCCACCTGACACCAATTAGCATGTTGAGTGGGGTGGGCTATGATGTATGATGAAATGATTTCAACTTCAAACGAAATACTAGGGGTTCAGTTTAAACAAAGAACAAGTAAAGGTGCCACCGCGGCCCAGCAGAGGATCCCCAATGCAGATAACAATTGTCTGCTGATGTGTGTGGGTCAAAGACTGCAGGCAGTCATTAACTGCTAATAATTATATATCATTAAATACGTGGACTTTCAGTTCCACTCTGTCCTATATTTTCCCATTGATTATTTCAATAAAATTGGGGGTTGTTGCATAAAAAAGGGCAAACATTCCTATAACGTTTTTTCAAATCATTATTCTCTACTTTTTGCCATGCCTTTTTTAATTTATTTTCATAGGTGAACCAAATCTAAATTAGTAAATAAACTGCAGAGAGACATGAAAAAAGCTATGGCTTTTGATTCAGCTGAAAAATAAAAATACATGTTTTAGATTTAGATGTAAATGTATGTGGCTGACAACGTTATTCTTATTTTCTGCTAATATCTGAAGCTATATACACCAACAATATATATGTTAACATTTGAAAACATTAAAGAGTCAGATGAAAGAGCCATATATCGGTGCTTAAGGACGTGTGTGTGTGTGTGTGTGTGTGTGTGTGTGTGTGTGTGTGTGTGTGTGTGTGTGTGTGTGTGTGTGTGTGTGTGTGTGTGTGTGTGTGTGTGTGTGTGTACAAACTATAAACACATCACTTAACTTCAAGTGCCATGGCTATCTGTCAGTCACAGAACCCAAAAAAGCAATATTCCCTTTAAGCCGCCAAAGGTGTATTACTTTTTGGCATCCATTTCATCCACCGAACATCAATCCAGTGCTATGGTATAATGCTCTTGTCACCACTGACAATGGAGAGACATTACTCTCACCTTGGTCATAGAGACGTGAGTCGTTTGATGGCTACGTAGTGATAATGCTGTCAGAAAGATAGGAAGATTGGGGTAGGGGCAAAAAGCTAGAAAATAGGGAAAGTCTGAAACTCCAGAGAGAAAAATAAAACAATTTAATTCCTTAATTCTTCCTGTTTTAATTGTGATCAACCCATAACTCTCAATGTGTCCTGCCAATTCAGGAGCTACTTCAGATTTCCATTAATGAAGCACTTGGGATGCAAAAAGCATGGAGTGATTAATCGTATATTAAATTATCAACATGTCATTATATCCTCTAGAATTATTCATACTGTAAGTCAGGATGTGAGCAAGTGACCCAGGTAGATTTATGACAATGTGATTCCACGCTTCGATATTAAATCTTCCCTTTTGACAAAGATATCCATCATATCTATAGTTTCTGTACTGACAGGAACACGGAGAGAGCTGGATATTGCCATGATCCCTCAATTTCACAGAGGGCATGACCCTGGTCACTGCAGACCATGCACGGTGATGATGGATATATGAGATTAATTTCCAGACCAATCCAAACAGACAAGAAGCCTGCACACATGAAGTGAGCAGAGTGTTGGTAGAGATAGCCGAGTGCCATAACACCAATCATGTTTGGAGTGTGTATCTTTCCCAACTATGGAGTATCCTCTCTTTTACTTTGGTTCATTTTGGCACGTCGGAACTATGTCATCTGAACTCAAGTAACACTTTCTGTTCGCACTATCTGAAAATTCCATTACCAGAAAAGAAATGGGGGACTTCAAAATCCACTTTTGGTATAGGATGAGGCACATGTTGACATTTCAGATAGCAATAACATTTAACAAAATAACGGATAATTATACTCAGCTTCCTCTTCCCCGCTTTCTTACCTAATGAACACTACAGTTGGCAAATTATACCTTCATTATCCTTGGCTGAAGATGTAAATTAAAAGAAAGTTTACAAATGTCATCCATTTGTGAGGATATTTGACTTTTATGCGAAGTACTTGTAAGTGTAAACTTTAACAAACCCCAAAAACTTGAATATTTTGGTTCAGAGAAGAGCAAACAAACGGGAGGCTTGCCTGCACCATTAGCTTTACCTTCACTTCTGTAGTTCTCCTGAGAGCTGAGCAGACTCAGGGCTGACAGGGGATGACTGGAGAAAGCAGGCCAGTCAGGAGTCCCCAGCCCACCACCGTGGTGCTGTCGAGGTCTGCTGCGAGAGCCCAGCACTGACGAGCTGTCGGCTTTCATTCGTAATACTGCTGCATATGATATAGGCCGTGCTGCAACAGCTCTCGCAAGGTCTGGAGGAAAATAAGAAACACAGTGCCGAGTTAGATCAAATATTCTGTGATTTCGGTATTGTTTGTCATCCTGGGAGAGTGATCCCTTCCCCCCCCCAGTTGCTCTTTTTTTTTTAAATGTCATGCATCAAAACTGAAGGACTAGTAACAGAGGGGTTCATATTCTAAACAGATAGCCATTTGAGTAAGATTGATTTACCAGTCAAATGTGACAAGAATTTGGTCAAAGAATTTTGTCTTGGAAAAGTGTCTTAAATTAATCTTCAAAAATAAAATAAAAGAAATTGGTCTGCCAATGCCTCTGTATTTGATAGTATTCTTAACCATCCGGTTTCCCTTGCTACTATATAAAAAATAGTTTGCAAAAAATAGTTTTCTACATGCGGGGATCTTGCTGAACAGAAACAAAGAGTAGAGACAGCAGGATAAGGAGGTATCACAATTCAGAGACAGCTAGGTGGAAAAACCTAAAATCATTTCCTACAGTCTGCTGAAAAAGCACATACTGTTGAAAGAAATCTGTAATGTCAAGGATTTCTGAATACATATCTACATCCAGGTAAAAAGGTGAACATTTGAAGCCTTGTGGAGTCTATAATCATGCCTTTCATATGGCTGAGATCCATTTGACGGAGCAAGCATTCCAGATGAACACAAAGTATTTAAATGATCAATAAATACCTCAAATAGTGAATACTTTTTTTTTTCCATTTCTATAACAATGCTTGGAGTATTTTCCATTTGGCTTCAAAACAGTCAGTCAGTCTTTTTCTGGAGCATCTACAGTAACATATAGTCACCATTAGAGTTATTCCTTAGGTGGAAACATACACATCTTACAAGACACTCTGAAAACCACCGTCATCAAAGCCTCAAATTGAACAAAATGGTGTACAGTAACAGGCTGAGCGAGAAACTGCATCCTTTAAAGTACGAGTCACCGGAGGTTCACAAATATCCTCTCTGAAATGTAAACTACACTTGAGGCTGTCACTGCATATTTCAGTCACTGTATTCTTCTACTACTCACTTTTGAAGTATTCAATCCACTTAGGCTAATGTGCCACTGTGTTGTCTTTTATGATACTATAAATGTAACAAGTCAAGATTACAAGCACAATTAGTCCAGCCGTGACAGCTGATCATCAGTACGTATTTTCCAAAAGCGGCTGTGCAATACAGCTGAAAGAAAAAGCTAAAAACCACTGCTGATATGGAACTAATTCTGCTTAAAGAAAATGCAAAACACTAGAAGCTGGAAGCCCAGCAAGAGTCTAATCAGAGTTCTGCAAAGGTGCGGTGTGAGTGTTTTTGCACAACATGATAACGTGCTATAAAAGAACTGAACAAAACTGAGAAATAATTATGTGCCCTTGGGGAGTTGTCAGCAGCAAAAGTACTCCTATCTACACATGGGGAGCAGGCAATTACTGTATTGCATTATGGGGAGAAGCAGAATATGGAACAACGTTCGAAATTAAAGCTATGAGTTTAAAAATTGATAAGCAAAGCAATTAGTAGTTGGTTGGCACTCAGTTTAATCATTTATCTTGCTGAGAATCAGCTGGATTGAGGAGTCGACTATTTTCCTGCTGCCTAGATCATGGTTGACTAAACAAAAAAAACATGGCTACGGCTTTTCTAGAACGTTTTTTATTATCAGTAATTGCATTATTTTTGTTGCTACTGTTTTCCTTTTGAATATGTGTTATTATTTATTTCTGTAAATTCTTGTTTACATTACATTAGTAGTGTAAGGAAATGACAAATCCTAAGAAAAATCACAATCACAATTGTATCTTTACAATTCATGCCTGACACACAGTCTTATTAGTCTGCCCGTTTGCCTGACTGTCTTTCAACTGTCTGAAAACTGTTCATTAGATCGATTACACACATGGTGGGGTGTGTTGCTCAGAAACCAGTCAAAGTTGTTTGGATGAGCACTTCTCAAGAAAGCTGCAATCAGCAATACCAGAGGCCAGGCGATCGGCACGCACCCAAGAGACACTCTTTAAAAGGTGCACTGTATTCCAAAATTCAACCAAAATGTCAGTTGGAAACATCTGTTGTCTCTGCAGTGGAATCCTAAGCAGCAGAAAAAGGGGAGGTAACACGGTTATTGATTTAACATAATAGGCATGTATTTTTGTTGAACAATGTTAACTGCTGAAGTTTGGTTATGTGCATAATCCAAAAAAAGGAATAAAAAAATCATGATAAATGAATGATTCATTCTTAGCCATGTATTGTCCCCTATAGTTTGACTCACTCTTAACAGGCTGCCATGCACATTTGGATTGAGGGGCTTTAACACATCCCACTACTCATCCCATTTCTCACACTGAATATGTGAGAAGCAGCAGGGTAGTGGTGCACGTGTACAGTATAGATGTCATACAGAACAACAGAGCAGTGATGACATGTAACAGAGTGTGTTCAAATGAATGTATCCTGTTATAAGATGACAGCTGCACTGACTTTATTCATTTAAAATACAGTCAGGGCAAAAAGTCTCATTTGGTTTTTGTAATTGAATCATTGCACCCTGAATAAGGGCCAAATTAATACTTTAAGAATCCGAGCCCTAAGAAACATTGGACAAGGGAAAGTAAATTAAACAAAATGCTGGTTCATACAGAATTACAGTTTCTGCATTATGTTGGTTGCTTACGGTTTTTTCCATGAAAACACTAAACATTGAAAGCATTTCCGTGTTCATTCAAACATGTACATTCAACTCATGAGGGAATCTTGAAGAAAAAAAGAAGAACTTGAAATAGCTTTGGCTTTTATTCCATGTTGTGGATAAATAATAAATACAATGACATTCTTCTGGTCTATTATGTTATGAGTCATTTCTTATACTTCATACAGGGTTATTCTGCACATGTTACATATTGTGCTAATCATAAAAGGTCCTTTTCCTTTATTCCAGGAAAACAACATTCAAAGGCTTGGGCTAAACCCTGACAAATACAACCTGCTGAAAAAAGAAAAGTCTCTTTTATTTGTTTGACTACTGAAGCCGACAGGCACTTGCTCTTGTCAGCTGTCACCTTCATCTGATAAAAGCAATGACCCTTGCAGATCCCGCTGATCCTTATCTTTCAGCGGGTGCACAATCAGAAACACTCATTGTTGTTGAAAGGGCTGCACCTGCCGCGCTTTAGGGAACTCTAGAGCAATGCCATCGGTGATCGTTTCAGGTCTTAACACCAGCCTTCCCGATAACATCACCAAAGGAGACAAGGGCCATTTTATACTTGAACAAAGAACAAAAAGCCAACCAATCCTGTTCCTTTGTCTTTATCATGTTACAATGTGTGTTTACTCAAATGGAGATTACCTTTGATACAGAAATTCAGCGATAAACAAAGTCACGACCAACTGAGGAGACTTATACGGCGCAAAGACGAGGGACATCTGAAACTAACAGCAGAGGTGAAGGTGAGGCTAAAGGAAGATGACATGTGTTTTAAGCAGACGTAGGGGAGACCTAGGGGAACAGTGAGAAACTCATCTACGTGTGTTAGGTCATTGGGTTGGCACAGCTCGGGAGACAATGTGCGAGTCTCTGGCTTTTTCTCCAGCCAATGGAAGACCGTAGAGCAGGGGTCTTCAACTAAAATTCAACGAGGTCCAGTTAGAGAAAATCTCCCCATGCAAAGGTCCGGAACATCAAAATGTCTAACTTGCTTCATAAATTAGTGTGATATATATCCTGCTATCCTGGCTCCAAGATGGTGGAATGAGCTCCCCATGGACATCAGGACAGCTGATAGCTTGCACATCTTCCGGCGCAAACTGAAAACTCATCTCTTTCGACTTCACTTCGAGCGATAGATTTATTAACAAAGCACTTATATACTAATAAAGGACTGGCTTATCTAAAGCCAGTTGAGTAGCACTTGAAATGTTTGGCTCTATGAAACTTGATGTACTTATATGATTCTGTTTTCTTCAAGGTTGTGTCTTCCTGGTCGAATGTACTTATTGTAAGTCGCTTTGGATAAAAGCGTCAGCTAAATGCAATGTAATGTAATATATTGAAGTGACCTGTAGCTTTATCAACGTCTGCATGTAATCAACAACTGACTGCCAATCAAATAAAGAAAGTACAATTAAAAAACAACAACATTTATTGTCAATTAACATTACTTAAATACTGTGGCTATGTGTAATGTTCCTCTCGGGCTGCATTTACAAATAAAATAGAGAAAATAAATAAAATAGCTTTTGAAAATATGTACATCTTAAAAGTGCTTAATTTTAGATACATAAAATAAAGTGTAGCAGCAGCTTGAGTTTCCCTTTTTCTTTGTTAACCGTTTCACATCATGACTTAACAGTTTCAGACGATTATAGAACAATATCAGTCTTTACACATCATAACAATTGAACAGTTTTAAAGTTTCTCTTTCTTTCCCTCTTATATTGCAGTCCCTCACTCACTTTTTTTAATTCAGTGTGAGAATTGAGCTGGAGCTTGTCCTGCCAGGAGTTTGTAAATCTGGGCCGACATGGAGTCAGGGCTATTCTCATACACATGCAGGTGCTTATTGGTTACAGTGATGCAAACACAGGTATGGTGAAAAAAGAGAGAACTATTCGAAGCAGAAAAAACAGCGTAATAAACCATCTGACAAAGGCCTGTGCTATAATGCTTCAATTAACTGCTATTCTTTATAATATACTCAGATCAATAGGAGACAGAGATGTTAAGTTAAAAATCAAGGGTTTTTATTATTATTTACAGAAAGGGTGGGGAACCTTTTTCCTTTCAATTTTTACAACATCCTCCGAGGGCCGTACAAATTATTGAACTCAACGTTTGCTTAAAAAAACTAAAATCACAGCCGATTCATTTCGCCTTTCTTTCATGCTGTGCAAAGAAAAAGCAACCTCTTAATCCAGATATCTCACCATGACTCACGCATGCATGCACGTGCACGGTGTGGCGTGACCACCAAAACAGAAAGATATGGACACAAGATGTG